GAGAGAGAGAGAGAGAGAGAGAGAGAGAGAGAGAGAGAGAGAGAGAGTCAGATGGAGCCACGCCTGCACATACATGCACATATGCACACATCCATACACAAGAAGCAGCAGAAACAGGCAGAGGCAGCGGGGCCAATCCAGGAGCTGCTGTTATCTCAGACTCAACAGACTTGCTAAGCAGGGCACTGAAAATGTCTTTAGTATGCCTTAGTATGGAGCCGAAATGACCTCCCTTCAAAATGCACCATGTTTCAGACCCACCCTGGGTTCTTGGGACCAGAGCCCTGGACCACAGTTTCCTTTCATGGAAAGGTGGTTCTCAGCCAAGCAAACATTCAGCAGAACTGAATGAGGCTCTCTGCACCCCTGGAACCACCTGAGGCTGAGAAGCAGTCTAGGAACCAGCAGGAACTTGGGGGGAAAAAAGTCCTCCATTCACAAATTCTATGCGGGAAACTCCACCAAGCAGCAATGTCTAAAGCCAAGCAGAGGGAAACAAATTGTCATACTTAAAACTAGTAGGACATCCTGGTTGCCTTTAGTCCAGGAATTTCCTGTGGTCCTACAAGTGAGAGTGGGGAGTATCTATTCATGGTCCAAGTTTTCAGACAGAAACTTTTTGCTTCTTTCTAGTATTGTTGACTCTGTGTTGCAATGTTGCTGGTTCAGGTCACCCCGCCCCACACCGGTTTGATCCTCTGCCATCTCTTAGGAGGCCCCTTCTATCCAACTGTAAAAGGGTCTATGAGACTCTGCTGCAGAAGCGGGAGTTATGGAAATACTGGGGTTTATGACCCTTGTACCCAGCTGATGAATATGAAAAGTAGTGGGTGGAAAACCAGAGAGGTTAGGCGTGGGTCTGGCTTCCTCTGGGCTCTTGTTTATCCCTCTCCAATGTGAAGTCTTCAGTTGGAAGACACTGTGAACTACGTCTGACTCATATGTTGACTATGAATCAATAGTAGAGGCTGTCTAGAGAGCTGTGTTGAATAGATTTTGATCTGGGATCAGTTAGCAATGTCTGCTCTGTGCAAAGGAGAAAGGCCAGGGCACCTCAACTTCCTGCGTATTACAGCTCTTGACAGTACTGGCCATGGTTCTCTTGGGCTTAGACCTTGTATGATTTTATAATTCCTCTTGTCTTTGCTCTTCTCTTTGTCTTCTCCGAGGCTGCTTCCATCCACCGGTAAGCGACAGTCCTCTACTGTGTTACGTAAGTCAGAGACTTCCCAGGATAAAGGAGGCTAGTACTCCTAGAGATCAGAAATTAGCTTGAAAGGCTAATCAACACAGAGCTGAATCTCGCAGGTCATGAAGCAGCTAAGATAGATTAGCCAATCATCAGGTTGTTCACTGTGAGAAAAGCACATGCTATTGTCTCCATCCACCTAGACAGATCAGGGAGGACTGAGGAAGCAAGCTCCATCTTTAGAAAAACAAAAATGAAGGCTGGGAGCTTCTTAAGCCACTAAGGTACTTGTGTAAGCATGAGAACCTATGTTGGATCCTTAAAACTTATGTAAAAATGTCAGGTGTGGTGGGGCATGCTTAGATCCAAGTGCCAGGGAGACAGAGGCAAGAAGGGCCCCTGGAGCTCGCTGGACAGCTAGAGGGTCCCTGGGGCTCACTTGACATCTTCCCTAGCCAACTTGGTGAATTCCAGGCCAAGTCACAGACTATACTTCAAAACAAGGTGGATAGCACCTGCCGGAGGACACCAGATGCATGTTCTCCACGGGTACATGGGCACATGTACCAAGACGTGAACATACCTGTACATACACATGTACTAAAAAACAAAATGACAAGGAAGGCCTGGGATGTAGCTCAACGGTATCAAGAATAGAAAAAGCAAATGGAATTGGAGGCAAAGGCAGACTGGACATGTATAGTGCCTCTGCCAGTAAACTGAGGGTAAGTTCTTCCGGGAGGGGTCCTTGAGACCCTGCAATGAGGAACCCATCCTAGGGGCTCGGGGAGTACCTGGCACTAAGTGATCCTTCTTCATCAAAGCAACCCAGCTTCCTGGTGATGTTCTCCACTTAGTCCTCAGTGGCACCAGGCCTGGGCCTGTGAGCTAACCGCTCACCACGGAGGCCCCACATCCACCAGTTCCAATAACAAGATTAGTCATTTTTCATTCCTAAGATATCTGCCCATGGGTGGGTGCGTGTGTGCATGTGTGAGGGTGTATGTGCCTTTCGAGAAGGGGAAAATCCATATTCTCTCTTCTGCCCGAATTAATCAAATAAATCTTCTGTAAGGAGCTGCTAAATGAATCACAGATGGCTCTGCCCTTTTACAGGTTACAGAAAGCACCCGTTACAGTCCTTTTAATTTATCAGAGGGAAAAAGATGCCCTCCTGTGCCCCTTGCCTCTCGCGGTAATAATCAGAACCAGCCTATTTTCCGAGGGTCCGAGACTCATTTTCAAAAAATGTGTATCAATAGATGTAACAGTGGGAAGAGTATTTTGCCAAGTTCCAGCCTCCAGCACGGCAAAGGTGCCCTGGCTGGGGAGAGCGTTTATAAAACCACATTTAATAAAAGAGAGTGTTATATTAAGTGTGTTTGCTAGTGTACTTCAGCATATGGTTTCCATATCAGGCATAAAGATGGCAAACACATGCTCTTTACCTTCTTTCGAACCTTTCCGAGAGGCGTCCTTTCTGACGGGCGGCAGGATGGGAAGCTTTTTTTGTTTGTTTGTTTGCTTTGTGTTTGATTTTTTTTGGATGTGAGTACTCTGTTCTCTTTGGTTTTACAGCTCAAGCTCAAGTGGGAAAGCATGGAGGGAGGTTCAGCAAATGTGTGGATGCTGTTTTTTCTCCTTATGTTATTAGCCCAAGAGAGTTGCCTCGCTGGCTGTCTGCAGAGGTCCTTACACCCTCCCAGATTTCCTATCCTCTCCACAGCACAAGGAGCTGGCTAACTTGACAGTGAGTCCAGTTCAGTTGCCCACAGCTCCTGGATTTTAAACGTGAACTTGGCAGTCACAGTTCAAGCTCTGAGGGTGGCTGCTTAGCTTTG